CAGATACGTTGAACGCCATGTATACGCTGATGTTGGCTCAGGCGCAAGAGTCGATCTACTTGAAGGCGGCTAAAGGTGAATTGCTGTAGAACCAGTTTTTGTGTAACACGTTACACATTTAGATCATAAGCCGGGTTTGAGACTTAAAGTAGCCCAGGAATGTTCGGACATGTATGCCGACGCCCTAAAGTCACTCAGCAGAGACTCATTGAAAGGCCTTTGGGAACGGGTCAGTGTTATATGTTAATCTTCTGTCGACGGTTTCTCATTCGACTGCTATTTACAGGAATGGCTTCCAATCGTGAGTGGCAAGCAGTACGCATTTCAGGCACTGGCTCAGTACGACCAGTCACTGCTGCATAATGAAAATAAGGAAATTGGTCTGGAACTAGCACGACTGCAGGTATGAATTAAGTTGAATAAATAAGCCATACATATACAAACACTGTTGGCCAGAATTAAGGCACCATATTTGATTAGTTACTTAGCTTCTCAATTCAGTAAATTAGTACTCAGTAATCTAAGCAAATTAGCAGTCAATCAAAATATAAATTGCAACCATCGTGACTATTAATGACGTGCATTTGTAATAATTCAGTGACAGTATTTTTATTGATCAAATGTCAGTCTTAAAGTTAGCCATTTATAAAGCCGTACTGAAGCAGGAATCGTAATTGTAATTTACTGGAAATGGCGGACGTTAAGTTAACATTCCTCTATAGAAACTGGAAGTACTCCACCCTTTTCGCGCAGCGTCTTCATCCATTCCATATCAACATTGCACAGATTTTAAACACAGTAAATGGTGTAACAAGTTTCAAAAATTATGAAATGATTTACTTTAAGCCTTCCAGCACTGAGTTTAGTTATGATAGTTTTTTCCCCAGTAAATCGCAACACGTAGTTCGTGTGACATTGTAATTGTTGGCCAACAATCTGTGTTGATGCGTCGAACATGTGCGTTATTGAAGCGAAAACGGTTATGCAGTTTTGCTTTAATGTATTGCAGGTGCTTCAGTGCCACACAGCCATGGCTTGCTTAAATGGCTCCTTAATCCTTTAGAAGCCAAGGGCAGTACGACACGCCGTAATGACTTGTGTGATTCATTTTCTATGTAAGCACTTAAGTATACCAGCTATGTTACTGAATCTTAAATAGTTTATAAGCTGCCTTTCATTATTATCTAAAATGAAGGATTTTTCATTAAGATTTCTATGGCGATTTGACAGTGTAAAGAAAGAAAAATCAATTTCTCATTTTACATCCGCTGCTGATTGCACAGCCCCCTTGCTTCTAGACGTCTATGGGGAGCATTTAATCAGGCCTCGGCTCCATGGTATTTATGCCCCTGCAGTGCATAGGGCGAAGGACCGCGCCTCGAACATGGGTTGTACGAAAGTATGTTCAAGGAAAAAACATTGCCGCGATCCGTTGGGAAAAGAGTGACAAAATTTAACCCTGATGTACTGGAGAGCTATCGATAACGCCGCTGAATATATCAGTAAAAATAATATTGCCTAATTAAAACAGCGAATGCATAGGGTAAACAAAAATCAATTTCTTCCCTTACACCAGCAGCTGATGCCTGCTTCTAGATGCCAAGGGGACCATTTAAGCAGGCCACGACCCCATGATGTTTTAAACGCCTACAGTGCAGAGGTGCGGGTGGTGCAATCAGCTGCTGGTGTAAAGTGAGAAATTAATTTTTCTTTCTTTACACTGTGCATTCACCGTCTGAATCCGGTATCATCGTTATTTTTGCGGTGATACATTCAGCGGCGGTAGTGATAGAGAGAACTCCCCAGAACATCGGGGTTCCATTTTATCACTGTATTTGAGAAAATCAGACGATATTTCAAAAGGTTCAGACTTAATGCTTTTATTTGCAAGGGGAAAATCTTGCGTTTGACCAAGGTTTGAGCACTTACTGACCTAGCAGTTTAATTTTTAGTCCTGTTCATTCCCTGTTGATGACCGATGCCAGTTCGGTCGAAACGTTGAAATTTCTGTAATCAAAATTTTTCTTGTTTCTCCTGTTGCCCATGGATCAGAAGACCTCTCACCTTATACGCTTCCTACAGATCAACGTATCTATCGATGGACATGTTGACAATGGGCATTCGCCAATCGAATTATTGCTCTCATATTATCATAGATAAACGCTAATTGTGAACAGTCATGAGAATTTTAATTTATGTTTTCTAAAATAGCTATGTAAACAGTGTTAAGATAACTCAGGTGCACGCAAAAACAATCGAATTTTGAGTCATTACGTTGCGACCAAGCTTTGGGTTAAATGACATTGTTGACCGTTAGGGCTAAAGAGCTGTCGACTAAATTGCCTTCGGCGGATAGTATATAATTAAATTACAATGCCGTTTGAGCAGCACTACTCGTTAGCCAGACATAAAACGTGAAGGAATGTGTTATTTTGTACAGATGAAATCGCTTACTCCCATCGATGACGACGGAGACTAGAGTAAAGCAGTTTGGTATCATGGGTTTTACACGGGAACCACCAAGGTCCTTAAAATTGATTTTTTTCTAATTAGTCGTATTTTATAAGACGTGATTCTTGAAATAGTAGTAAATTTTGCAGTTGTCTGATGCCCAGTGAAAGTAGATCATTTATTGTGCATTTTTTCAGTATGCCAATCAGCTGATGCAAC